AAGGCTCGTTATCTTATCAAAGAAAGCTATCAGATTAGTTTGGCATGACTTGTTCTTCACAAACCCATGCTGGCTATTCCCTATCACTTTATTACCTTCCAAGTGTTTGCATATGATTTCCTTAATTACCTGCTCCATTATCTTCCCTGGGACAGACGTTAAACTGACCGGTCTATAATTTCCTGGGTTGTTCTTATTCCCCTTTTTATAGATGGGCACAATATTTGCCCTTTTCCAGTCTTCTGGAATCTCCCCTGTCTGCCATGATTTTTCAAAGATCATAGCTAAAGGCTCAGATACCTCCTCTATCAGCTCCTTGAGTATCCTGGGATGCATTTCATCAGGACCTGGTGACTTGCTGACATCTAACTTTCCTAAGTGATTTTTAACTTGTTCTTTGTGTATCCTATCTTCTAAACTTACCCTCTCTCTGCTTGTATTCACTACGTTAGGCACACCTCCAGACTTCTCGGTGAAGACCGAAACAAAGAAGTCATTGAGCATCTCCGCCATTTCCAAGTTCCCTGTTACTGCTTCTCCCTCCTCACTAAGCAGTGGGCCTACCCTGTCCTTGGTCTTCCTCTTGCTTTTAATGTATTTATAAAAGGTCTTCTTGTTTCCCTTTATGCCTGTAGCTAGTTTGATCTCAACTAGCCTGTAGCTAGTTGTTTAATGAGCCCTACCAAGAGGCTCAGAGCTCATACACAGGCTGGGGGAGCGGCCCTCTCACTGAGCAGCAACAGCTGCCTGCTACAAACAGAGGAGCTCAGAGAGCAGGCAGGAATGAGAGATAAGGAGGACTGGAGTGAGGTGGTGATGGAGAGTTTGTTTGTGCTGTGTCCTGGGGTGAAGTGTGGGTAGAGAGTTTGTGCTGTGTGCCCAGTCCTAAATCCCAGCTAAGTTGCTGGTACCTGCAAGTCTAAGAAGCAGGATTTTATCCCAGCCCCCATCTGGGTTGGAGGAAGTAAACTACACAGGGGTAGGTGAGGGAAAAGAGGAGGTGGGTGGATGCTGGCATCTATGCAGTGAGGTGGAGGTGGGTGAGGGGGGAGGGAAATTGGTTGAGGTGTCCTGTCTCACTTGCTGCAGTTCAGATGGGAAAATGAGACCCTTTCCGTCGGCTAGTGTGTGCGTGTGTGTGTGCGCACGCACGCCAGAACGTTTGCATGATTACATTTCAAATAAAGTTTACATAGGTGTTAATGGCTTAAAGTAAGAAAGAAAAAGATTCTTTTAACAGAATTTTTTGGAGTGTTGTAGATATGTAAAACTCTGATCTTAATTTTTTTTAAATGCTATGTTACTAATTAATACATGGTAAACTGTATTGCATTAGGGCTGAAACTTTGCTATCTGATAGAGTTCTGGCTCTTAGGAGTCAGAAGTAGCAATTACTAGGCATGATGCAAGTTATTTTGTAGGATGAATCCTTATTTGCAAGCTGTTTGAAACATGAGTCTGTCTACAAACCCGGAAGTCATGTATGAATTTGCTCTAGGGCTTCTATTCTTTGAGCTGGTGACACACACACAAGGTGAAAGTTTCAAATGAGGAGAACTTTTATCTGTTTTCAAAGGTCTCTGTTTCACTTGTATTTGTATAGCATGGATCCTAAACATTCCCCAGCAAAACTGTAAAAGCCTGAATGGCTTTTCCTCTCTTTTCTGGTGTCAGTAAATACTGTATTAATATTTGCAAGGAGAGCATAACTATTTCTAGTTTACTCAGATTTGTTTAGCATCTTAAAGCTGAGCTATGTGTGGATAATATGCATTTTGGTGTGTTTACTAGCTTGAGTTATTAGAAAGGATGATAATACATGTACTCCAAAAATAGAGTTAATTTTCTTTTTATTTGATTTCATATTAAATAAACATCATAAGCATTGCCCCATGTTAATTATCCCTTGTTTTAATATATTTTCTACTACATCTATGGACGGTTTAATATATATATATGTTTTTTGTTTGTAATGGTGGTGCACATCCACACATTACCTCAATATTGGTGTTGCACATAAGAAATTTCAACCTGCCGAGGGAAGCGTTAGAGGTACCTACACAATTCTGCACTCTAGCACCTGCTTTCTGTAGGGCCATGCTTTTCCTGAAGGAGGCAGAAGAGTCACCCTGAGACCTGAAACAGTAGGGATCACTCCCTCAGATGAAAAACAATGTTTAAACTTCTATGAAGGCACCACTGAGAGAAACAAACTTCTACAAATAACTCTACTTTAAACTAAGATACTAATAATTATATCTTAGGAAAAATAAACTTATTGAGAGATTAAGACCACACAGAGCTCAGGGGTGGTACTGCTTCATGTAACCAGCGAAGAGGCTATAGCCATGAGGCTTGAACACAGCCTCTCTAATAGTACTGGCAGGCAAATTTCTCCAGCTCCTGCATGCTGGGCATGTCACATCTATGTGGAATACAGTTTGCAAAGAACTGTTTTCAGCAAACCTTCTCTTGCTACTCTAGCCTTCCAGTGAAGAGTTAGATGTTGATTTCTGAGTAATCTGGCAACAAGACATTCACAATGATATCCCACAACTCAACTATTTCCTTAATCAGCAGTGCAGAATTTTATTGAACAGGCACAATACAAGGTCTAACTATTCACTTTGGATACAATTTACCCCAGTGTGCACCCAATGGCCTTTTCATTACTTAAGCTTCACTGCAATCCTGTGATAAGAGTTTAAGTGGTGCACAGGGCCTAATGTGGCCCCCTCTACATGGGAGCGAATTTCACGTTCAGGCTCCTACCCAAGAAGGTGAATTGATTCTTCTTTGTCTTGGGGAGTTTTCTATTAATCAAAATGCTATTGAATTATGTTTTATGTGTGTAGTTGTAAGTAAAATATGTAGAGATTTTGAAAAATGAATTTCAGTACATAGAAAAATAAATATGAGTAAATGCTCTTAGACTGTAAAAAGCTACAAACACATAAATACACTGCAAGAAGGTGTGGATGGAGAATCCAGATTACAACCTTTCACTAAGGACAAGGTATTGCTCTTTAAAGACTTATTTGTATTCACGCTGGCACTAATGGTAGTAAGCATATTTGTGTTCCTACTGGGAAAAAGCAAAATTCTACTCTGAGGCTGACATGTTGCACACTTTGCAGTCATATCTTTAATCACATTCAAATGCACAGCACAAGGATCCTTTTGAAGTGGCAATCTTTGAGAGGCCTGAGTCATTTAGAGATGTTTCAGTGCACTTTTATGTTTTTTTCTGAATGGGTTACTCTCAGCACCCACAACACATTGACTCTGACATTGAGCTGTCAAGTTTCAAACAGCATTTGACATACTAAGCACTCTTTGTTAGGCAATCAAGATTGTCATTCATGTCAGTATCACCTGCCACTTTCAACAGACATTGGGATTGTCAAAAAGAGCCAAAACATTACAACTAGTGGAGATTAAAGTCAAACTGAGGTATTTTTTTTAAAAAAAGCAATATTCAAGGAAGTGTGTGTGGCTCCCTCTGAAATCAAAGAGAACCACATGTGCACATTCAAGAACAGAATTTTCCTTGTCAGTTATCCCTTGTATGTTATCTTCCTGTCCAAACATACAAGGGATAAGTCTCAAATGGCAATTAAGTGCCCAATTTCCATGGACTTTCAATAGGAGATACATGCTTAACTACCATTGTTTCTTTGAAATATGGGGTATGTGTGTGTGTATATCATTTATAGGTGTGAACTAAGAGCCCCCAGTGCCAGATGGCACAGTGTTACGATATTAACCCAAAAGGCAGCATGTAATATATCACTGGAAAACTAATAACTCGATTATCCTTAAAATTGAGTGATATATGTGTGTTTAACCCACAAAGAACTTAACAGGTGTACTTGAAATATGTGACAAAAATGTGTTTAGATGAGGCATTTCAGGGGGAATTGACAAATGGGTTTTCTCCACACAAAGGAAAGAGACCAACACCTCAGCCCAGATCTGGATAAATTTAGTAGGCTTCTCCAATGTATTGGAGGTTGCAGGAAGAGATTATTAGCCGTGTCAAAATTACCAGGGGGAAAACTGTCAGCTTGAAGTGTACACCAAACAGCCTGTGATCTACATCCAGCAGGACAAAAGGAACTTACCTGAGGATACCCTTCAAAAATACATTTCAAAGATTAACTGGACTCCAAAGAGAGAGGAAGAAAAACCCTAAGTTATACTTCACCTAGAGAGACAAAAGGCAACATACACTCTGAGCTCTGTGAAAGGTCGTGACTAGAATGCCTGGTCAGCCATGTTGGAAATCAGAAACACTTCTTTGAGCAAGAGACTCTAGTTTGTTAAAGTAGGTTTTAGTCTTAAACATCTATTTTCATGTTTGTGTGCTTGTAACCCTTTCTAGTTTTATTCTTTATACTTGCTATCACTTACTTTTTTTTTTTTTTTTTACTTTTACTATCAAACTAATTTAGTTCTTTGATTCAAATAGAGTGATTACCTTTACCCCGGTTAAGGTGATAAGCTGTTATGTACTATATCTTTAAGAAGCAGCTAATTTAATAACTTCTGCAAATGTTCAACAAGAGGCTTTGTCACTATAGGGCAGGCAGTTTTTGGCAAAATTTGGGACTGGGGAGGAATTGGGGTCACCTTGCAAAAGGTAACTAGGCAACTGAAGCCAGCGTATGACCCATCTGCTGGCTGTTAATGTCAGAGCTGTGAGCCATAGCAGCATAGCATTTAAGAATCCAGAGTTGCAGGGCAGGCAGTGACACAGCCCTTACTGGTCTGGTCACAATAGGGAAACTAATTGTTTTACAAAAGAGTATGTGATCACTACAGCTTCATCTCCTTTTTAAAAGGATGACTAGCAACTCATATTCTTCCCCAATCTGTACTGAGTAATGCTTAATGCCAACCTATCAAGCAGCTAAGTGTGACAGGTGAAATTATGCAAGGAGCACACACTGAAGAATATCTGAAAGAAAATGTTTGATTGCCCTGCTAGTACAACCTACCATTTTACTGTGGTGGATGTGAGATTCAGAAGTCCTCTGAATTTTCCTTTTGGCAGCTTCCTGAAGATCAGAGGCTTGTTGGAGATATGTTAACCCTGCCAGTATCTCATCTTCCAAAAGTATCACATCATCATACGAAACAGGCCATCCCACGTTTTCTAAGGCCTGTAGCAAAGCTTCCTTGTGTTCCATATATGAGACTGGCTGCTCCTGCTCAAACCTTTAAAAAAAATCACAACAGTGTGCAATTATATATAATAATGCTTTTCATCTTCAAGACACTTTCCAAACACTAAGTAATAAAGTAGCTCACTGCCCTGTAAAGAAAATACAGCTTTTGTATCATTCTAACTGTACCAGTTTAAAACTCAATCTGGCTAAAGTGCTACAAACCCCCAGTGCAGACACAGTCATGAAGGTATTCATACTCAGTTTAGTTCATTCCTTGACAAACCTACCCCTGAGGTGCTACTCACTGGCTGAGCAGAGAAGGGTTTGCGCCAGTGCCAAAGAAGATGATGTCCCTGCCCTTCCAACTCCTTCCCACTCTACGCCGAGCACTAATTGATACTAGTAAGTTAAAGTGCATAATCCCTTTTACAACAGTGAACAACAAAGAGAAAAAGCCCTCTCACTTTGTTACTGAATGGGTGGCAAATTAAAACCTAAGGATTAAATGCTACCTGGGTCATGGGAGTTTGGGGGGGGGGGGTTGTTTTGTTTTACCAGTTAGGCACAGACATGAAAGTAAAATAATCTGGCCAGGACAGAAGCAGTCAAAAAAGTGTACTACAGATTTATGACCTGATATTCAGAGGCACTGAGCACCATACCCCCCATACCATTAATAAATGTTTCAAAAATTAAACTGTTTAGCAAGACGACGAAAACTTACTTGTCTCTTTCCTCTTGAGATAGTGCTCTCCAAATAATTAGATTTAGGCGCCTATTCAATAAAAGAAAAAATGTGAGGGAATGTAGTCAATATGGCTATATCTACACTACAGAGCTTTTTTGGAAAAACGGCCATTTTTCCAGAAAAACTTCATTTACGTCCACACTGCAATTGTATTCTTTTTGAAAAAAAATCAAAAGAACAGAGGGCGTTTTCCAACATTGGTAAACCTCTTTCTAACAAGAAAGAAGCCTTTTTCTGAAAGAGCTCTTTCGGAAAAAGGCATGTGTGGATGGGGAAGAGGGAGTGGCGGAGTGGCACTGTATGTGAAAGATAATGTAGAATCAAATGAAATAAAAATATTAAGTGAATCAACATGTTCCATAGAATCGCTATGGATAGAAATTCCATGCTCCAATAATAAGAAATTAGCAGTAGGGATATATTACCGACCACCTGACCAGGACAGCGATACTGACATAGAAATGCTGAGGGAGATTAGAGAGGCTACCAAAATAGAGAACTCTATAATAATGGGGGATTTTAATTACCCCCATATTGACTGGATACATGTCACCTCAGGAAGAGAAGCGGAGATAAAATTTCTCAATGGCTTAAATGACTGCTTCTTGGAGCAGCTAGTGCAGGAACCCACAAGGGGAGAGGCAATTCTCAATTTAGTCTGGATACATGTCACCTCAGGAAGAGAAGCGGAGATAAAATTTCTCAATGGCTTAAATGACTGCTTCTTGGAGCAGCTAGTGCAGGTACCTACAAGGGGAGAGGCAATTCTCGATTTAGTCCTGAGTGGAGTGCAGGATCAGGTCCAGGATATAACTTTTACAGGACCGCTTGGGAATAGTGACCATAATATAATAACATTCAACATTCCTGTGGTGGGAAGAACACCTCAGCAGTCCAGCACCCTGGCATTTAATTTCAAAAAGGGGAATTACACAAAAATGAGGAGGTTAGTTAAACAGAAATTAAAAGGCACAGTGACTAGAGCCAAATCCCTGAAAGCTGCATGGAAACTTTTTAAAGACACCATAATAGAGGCCCAACTTAAATGTATACCCCAAATTAAAAAACATAGCAAGAGACCTAAAAAAGAGTCACCGTGGCTTAACCACCATGTAAAAGAAGCAGTGAGGGACAAAAAGGTATCTTTTAAGAAGTGGAAGTCCAATCCTAGTGAGATAAATAGAAAGGAACATAAACACTGTCAAATCAAGTGTAAACATGTAATAAGAAAAGCAAAAAAAGATTTTGAGGAACAGCTAGCCAAAAACTCAAAAAGAAATAACAAAATGTTTTTAAGTACATTAGAAGCAGGAAGCCTGCTAAAAAGCCTGTGGGTCCCCTAGATGATCGAGCTATAAAAGGAGCAATCAAGGACAATAAAGCCATTGCGGAGAAACTATATGATTTCTTTGCTTCAGTCTTCACGGCTGAGGACGTTGGGGAGATTCCTGAATCTGCACCGTCCTTTGTGGGTGATGAATCTGAGGAACTGTCCCGGATTGAAGTGTCATTAGAGGAGGTTTTGGAACAAATAGAAAAACTTAATGTTAACAAATCTCCGGGACCGGATGGCATTCATCCAAGGGTTCTAAAAGAACTCAAATGGGAAATTGCTGAACTATTATCTGTATCTTCTGCTTACAAATAAGATCCTCAGTTTGAATACCTCCTCCTGTAACTCGTAGAATTTTCACTAAACACAGCTATTAGTTGAAACAATAGTAAAGAATAAAATTGTGAAGCATGTAGAAGAACATAATTTGTTGGACAAAAGTCAACATGGTTTCTGTAAAGGGAAATCCTGTCTTACTAATCTATTAGAGTTCTTTGAAGGGGTTAACAAACATGCGGACAAGGGGGATCCAGTAGATATAGTATACTTGGATTTTCAGAAAGCCTTTGACAAGGTCCCTCACCAAAGGCTCTTGTGTAAATTACATGGCCATGGGATAAGAGGGAAGGTCCTTTCTTGGATTGAGAACTGGTTAAAAGACAGGAAACAAAGGGTAGGAATAAATGGTAAATTTTCAGATTGGAGAGGGGTAACTAGTGGTGTCCCCCAAGGGTCAGTCCTGGGACCAATCCTTTTCAACTTATTCATAAATGATCTGGAGAAAGGGGTAAGCAGTGAGGTAGTAAAGTTTGCAGATGATACCAAACTGTTTAGGATAGTCAAGACAGAAGCAGACTGTGAGGGACTCCAAGAAGATCTCACCAAACTGAGTGATTGGGCAACAAAATGGCAAATGAAATTTAATGTGGATAAGTGTAAAGTAATGCACATCGGGAAAAATAACCCCAACTATACGTACAGTATGATGGGGGCTAATTTGGCTACGACAAATCAGGAAAGAGATCTTGGAGTTATCGTGGACAGTTCTCTGAAAACTTCCACACAGAGTGCAGTGGCGGTCAAAAAGGCAAATAGGATGCTAGGAATTATTAGGAAAGGGATAGAAAATAAGACCCAGAATATCTTACTGCCCCTGTATAAAACTATGGTACGCCCACATCTTGAATACTGTGTACAGATGTGGTCTCCTCACCTCAAAAAAGATATTTTGGCCTTGGAAAGGGTTCAGAAAAGGGCAACTAAAATGATTAGGGGTTTGGAACGGGTCCCATATGAGGAGAGGTTAAAGCGACTGGGACTTTTCAGTTTAGAAAAGAGGAGACTGTGGGGGGATATGATAGAGGTCTATAAAATCATGAGTGGTGTGGAGAGGGCTGATAAAGAAAAGTTATTTATTAGTTCCCATAATAGAAGAACTAGAGGACACCAAATGAAATTAATGGGTAGCAGGTTTAAAACTAATAAAAGAAAGTTCTTCTTCACACAGCGTGTAGTCAACCTGTGGAACTCCTTGCCAGAGGAGGCTGTGAAGGCTAGGACTATAATAGAGTTTAAAGAGAAGCTGGATAAATTCATGGAGGTTAGGTCCATAAAAGGCTATTAGCCAGGGGATAAAATGGTGTCCTTGGCCTCTGTTTGTCAGAGGCTGGAGAGGGATGGCAGGAGACAAATCGCTTGATCATTGTCGTCGTTCCACCCTCTTTGGGGCACCTGGTGCTGGCCACTGTCGGTAGACAGGATACTGGGCTAGATGGACCTTTGGTCTGACCCAGTACGGCCGTTCTTATGTTCTTATGAGTTCTTTCAAAAGCAGCAGAAAGAGGAAAAAGCACAGGTGCCCTGGTGGCCGTTCTGTCCATAGTAATCACAGCTTAAATGCGAGATAGCATCCATTCAGATGGTATCTTTCGAAAAAGCAGTTTGCTTTTTCAATGCGCTTTGGCAGTGTGGATGCTCTCTTTTCTGAAGAAGTCTTTTCAGAAGATCTTTTCTGGAAAAGCTTCTTCCAAAAGAAGCCTGCAATCTAGATGTAGACTATGTGGCTGATTATCAAAATATCAATGAATAAACAAGAACACACAGTTCTAGCTACTACAGTGGTTCTCAAAGTGGTCTGCGGATCCAATCTAAGAAACTTGCTAACTGGCCACTGTGATTTGTTTATTTTCCGGCTACACAGTCATGGAGTACTGCTCCAGTTCACTATTTGCAGCCAAGGGGGGCCATTGGAAGTGGTGGGGGGCTGGGCTGCCGCTTCCCGCGGCTCCCCTTGGCTGCAAACGGTGAACTGGAGCCAATCCATGGCTGCAGAGCCATTAAATAAACAAACCGCAGCAGCCAGCTAGCAGGTTTCTCAGAGTGGATCCTCGGAACATTTTGAGAAATACTGATCTACCATGATCTGTATTCTGAAAGCACAAACTGTATTCTTATCATTCAACTATGAATTTATCATCTGCAAAAGGAGACAGGAAAACAACATCTTTCATCTAGCAGCAATACGATTATTTCAGGGTCACTGAGAGATTAGTGGCATTCACTATTGTTTCCTGCAGGAATTTCAGTGGAGAGTTCAGTCCAGCATGCAGTAATCTAAACTAACCAATAGCACTAATTAAAAGTCAGCCAAGAGCTGTCCCCCACAAGTTAAGAGCTTCAGCATGAAGGTACTTGAGAAATAATGTTAATTATTTTTCCCATTTAAAAATCAAATGCAATCACACCATTTAAATTTCTACTTCGGTCCTCTCTGCCTTCCTTTCTGCTGTGGTGAAAACAGAACTGTAGATCTCTAGAAAGCATTCTTAAAACTATAGTACCTACCTAAAGTGAAGAAATGGATTGATAAAGCCAAGGAGATACTCAGAAGTCACCTTCCAGAGGACAGACCCAGCAAGGAAAGCAACATAATGCTACTAGCCATTAGCTAGGGCCCCTAGCTGTTGTTGTTGTTGTTGTTGTTGTTGTTCGTCCATCGTATTCGAAGAGGACCTTGACATCTAACAGGTTATGGACTGTTCATGGTGTGTCCGCAAATGGCTGATAAGGCCGATACGGGCACGGAATGTTCTACCACAGGTCGGGCAGACATGTGTGGGCACCACTGTTGCAGCTTTTGCAACTCTGGCTTTACGGAGTGCTCGCTTCTCTTGTGCTATGGTTGTCCTTCTGGCTTCAGATGTTTGACAGCCTTGGTAGATCAGCGTGTGCCATGTTGATCGGTCTTGTGCCAGGGTCTCCCAGCAGGTGGTGTCAATATCCAGGGACTTGAGAGAGGCTTTAAGCGTATCTTTGTATCGCTTCTTTTGTCCCCCGTGCGATCGCTTCCCTTGAAACAGCTCACCATAGAAGAGCTGTTTAGGGATGCGATGATCTGGCATCCTTGCAACATGGCCTGCCCAGCGTGTCTGAGCTTTCATCAGCAGGGTGTAAACTGACGGCAGACCTGCTCTAGAAAGGAATTCTGTGTCTGGCACCTTATCCTGCCACCGGATCCTCAGAAGTCTGCGGAGGCAAATCGTGTGGAAGTGGTTCAGTTGCCTAGCGTGCCTCCTGTATACAGTCCAAGTCTCACTGGCGTACATCAGGGTAGTTAACACTACTGCTCGATAGACTTTAAGCTTTGTAACAAGGCTTATTCCACGGCGGTCCCACACTTTGGTCAACAGTCTGC